TTTAGGTTAGATGGGCTTCAGATTGGTTTCACAGGTCGGCGCAACATTGAGGGTCGAAGGGCTTGTACTGTGCTGTAATGTTCTATGTTCTAATGTCCTGTACAACCTCAATATGACATCCCAATTCCTCTACTCAAAGGTCTGAGCAATGAAGGCAAGTGTGCTAAACGTCTTCTTAACCTGTCTACGTGTGACCCAAATTTCAAAGAATGATGAACCTGAACCACTAGGTCTCTATGACACTACCCAAGGCCCTACTTTTAATTGTGGATCTACAGAGAAGGAAATCTGTCATCCTTACCCAGTCTGGCTTACATGAAACTCCAGACCCACAGCAATGAGGTTGACTCAAATGTCCTCTGGGTGATTAGAGATGGGCGATAAAATGCTGGCCCACTCAGAGCCACCCAGTACCCACAAACGAATTGATAAAAGGACATAAGCAGAACAAAACTCAAGTCCATAGATTTAAAAAGGCTGATCTTGAAATGCCAAGAATAGAATTAGGCAAATAAAAAACACCACCGGCAAACATCAACATTGGGAAACATTTTAAAAAGGTGTTCGAAAGAATGCAGGAAAAATATATTTCACTAAAAGAACAGACTAAACATAAATGGGGCTCTAGGAGTGAATAAAAATGTAAGGGTATAACAGAGGATTAGGAAAGCGACATATATTAAATAAAGAAGTGGAGTGCACTAAAAGAGAATACGAAGTGATAAGTAGGGCAAAAAGGAGTTTATGACATTGAAATTATTAAGGAACATTAAACAAAATAGTAAAATGTTATATACACTCATCAATAAAGGGGGAAGGATGGTAGTCAATAAAAACATAGGTAACAATAGAGATATGGCAAAAATACTAAATAATTAATTTGCTTTGAACAGATAGGGATGATACTGAATAACAGTAATAAGATAAATGCTTTTAAAATTATAAAGGGTATGCAGTGGATAAACTAAGCAAATTCAGAGGATAAACCATGATCAGGATAGATTGTATTCATGTACTTTAAGATGATGTGGGAAAGAGATAGCAGAGGTTGCAGTTCCAGAGGACTGGCAGATAGTTAATGCAATCCCTACATTAAGATGGCAGTGCAAAAGCTTCTAGAAATGACATCTTCAAACAAAAGTAAAAGTCAGTTCAGCAAATGTGGATTAATTAACGGATTTGTAAAGGACAAATTATATTTAAGTAAATTGCTGAAGTTTTCTGACGGAGCATAGAAGAAAACTCAGTGAGGATAATGCTGTCAAAGTGGTATAAATGGAATTTGAAAAGACATCTGAAAGTGTCGCACATCAGACTTAGTGCAGCATCTGTGAAGAGAAAACAGTTAATATTTTGAATCCTGTGACCGTTCGAGGGACTCTGATTTCTCTTCACAGATGCTGCTCATAAGTCTGATGTGCAACACTTTCACATGTCTTTTCAAATTCCATTTATGCCACTTTAACAGAATTATCCTCTTCGATGTGCAATGCTTCACTGGGCTTGAAATGTTAACACTTGTCTCTCTCCACAGATGCTGTCAGCCCTGCTGAGTTTCTCCAGCAATTTCTGCTTCTGTTTCTTTCCAATCTCCAGCATTCACAATTCTTTGTTTTAATTTATGCCTATGGGTACAAGTGATGAAATGAAAGAAGGGACTGTTAGTAACACGGATACAGAATTGGTTGAGCGACAGAAAACAGACAGCAATGGTTAATAAGATAGTAGGAACTGCAGATGATGGAGAATCTGAGACAACAAGGTGTAGAGCTGCATAAACACAGCAGGCCAAGCAGCATCAGAGGAGCAGGAAGGCTGACGTTTCAGGCCTAGAACCTTCTTCAGATAATGGCTGAAGAAGGGTCTAGGCCCGAAACATCAGCCTTCCTGCTCGGCCTGCTGTGTTCATCCAGCTCTACACCTTGTTGTGTCAGCAGTGGTTAATGGTTGTTTTTCGGACTGGAGGAGGGTCGCTTTACCATGATACGTAGTTGCAATCTGGACCTTGGTGTACAGGGTGTGATTTCAAACTTTGCAAACTATCCGAAACTTGAAAGCATTGTGAAATGTGGGGTGGATCAGGCAGAAGTTCAAAAGGACATACAGGTTGGTCAAAAAGGCAGACAAGTGAAGTTCCCAGAAATAGTAAGAGGGAGGAAGATCTCACGCTAGACAGGAGTCGGCTAGCACTTGTGTCAGACTGTGCATGCTGTACACTGACCTGCTTGTGAACATGGATATCAGATTCGTCTGGAGGGCCCCCCGTGGTGTACCAGCCCAGGAACTCCATGTCTTTAAAGACCTGCTTAACTAGAGAGACAGAGACGAAAGTCAGACTGATAGATCATAGGCTCAATTTGGAATGGGACAAAGTGCACTTGAGCAAGTTCCTCTCATTAGTGAAAGACACAATCATTGGAAAGGACGCAAAAAGCAAAATGAGAAGATTTTTCTTGAATCCACTGGCAATGCTATGAAATAGGTTATCAGAGGATGACAAATGTTGGTCAACGGATTATGTCACAGGCTTCTGGAAAGGAAAGTGGCTCAATGGATGGTAGTGGGCTTTCACAGTGGTCTCAGCACAAAGTGGGAGGTTGGTATGCCATGGCAAGAGGGTGTCTTGAGGGTTGATTTTAGCTTGTGGTCTGAATAAATTGTCATTTTGATAACTCAAGGAGTGGAAGGATGCAGCACAACAGGGTAGAATGTAATTTAATGGTAGGGAACCTGTCATTCAGTCCACCAGGAATCACTCATGCCTACATACCCAGCACGCAGACAAAACCTCAACCCAGCTCCAGGCGCACAGCACCAAAGTGGAGGGCCAACACAGCACCCACATTATCATGCAGCATCTGTGGAACTGTCTGGTACATGGAGGTGAGATTATTACTCACACTGCTCCTCTTTGGTGTAGTAATACTCCTTGTCAATAACAATCTTTTCCTCCACCATGTGAGACAGCAGCTCGAAAGAGTTCATCACCTCGATGTTTCTGCCCTCCTGCTTTCCGATCAAGGCACCAATCACTGTGAACAGAAACCACAACTGACTCAACAGGCCACAAATAAAAACTATTCAAACAGCAAGGAACAGAGGGCCTACCACTCTTTCTTTATTGGTTTAAGGGATGTGGGCATCATGGCGGGGGGGGGGGGGGGGGGGGGGGGGTGGGGGGTGGTGGCGGTGGACGAGCATTTATTAACTGTCCCAAATTGCCCTTGTGAAGGTGATGGTGAACTGCTGCACTCCACTTAGTGTAAGTACACGCACAATTCCATTAGGGAGGGAGCTCTAGGATTTTGACCCAGTGCCAGTGAAGGAATGGCGACATAACTACCAGTCAGGATAGTAGGTGGCTTACAGGGGAAGTGTTCTCACATATCTGCTGCTCTGCCCTTCTAAATGGTAATGATTGTGGGTTTGGAAGGTGCTGTCTAAGTGTCTTTGGTGAATTTCTGCAGTGCATCTTGTGGGTGGTACACACTGCTGCTACTGAGCATCAGTGGTGGAGGGAGTAAATGGTGAATTGGGTGTCAATCAAGTAGGCTTTCTCTTGGATGGTGTCGACCTTCTCAAGTATTCTTGGGGTTTTATCCATCCAGGAAATTTGAGCATATTCCATCATACTCCTGACTTGTGCCTTGTAGATGGTGAACAGGCTCGGGGGAAGTCAGGACGTGAGTTACACTCACCAGAATTCAGACTATAACCATTGATCCCTCTAGTCTTCTAACCCAACAAGTCTCTTATATTCCATTCAGTATACAGCCTTCTATTACTTCCCAGTAAAATGGCAAGACCTCTCTTATCCTTATTGAAAATTATTTTCTTGTTGTGCATCTATTCCGTAATTTTATTCATGTTTTCCTATATTTCGGCATCATCATCTTCTTTTTGATGAATAGCTCCTTCAAACAACGGCTAGTGGCTTATTAAAAGTCATGAATAGCAAGCAAAGCTTACAGTCCTCAAACAATTCAATTCAGCACAGGAACGGGCCCTTCGGCCCACCAAGTTTGTGCCAATTTCAAATTTAGATCCACTCCTTATTGCCCATGCATGGTTTCTATCCCTCTGTTTGCCTCCCGTTCATGTGTTTATCAAGATACACCGTAAACATTGCTAACGTACCTGCTTCCACCACCTTCATTGGCAGTGCGTTTCAGGCACCCCCCCACCACCCTCTGAAAAATTTTCCCCACACTTCTCCCCCTAAACTTTCCCCCTCTCACCTTGAACCTGTGCCCTCAGTAGTTGACCTTTCGACTCTGGGAAAATGCCTCTGACTATTCACCCTATCTATCAATGCCTCTCTCAAATGATAAAATTGAAAAGCAAAAGTAATGTTAAACTTCATGGACTTTGATTAAAGCACAATCAGATTATTATCAACGGTTCTGGTCTCCACATTATATTTAAAAATGCATGGAGAAACTGGAAGTGTTATCAAATATTTTTAATTAGGCTGATATTCAAACTCAGAGGTTATAACTATCAGGAACCATTAGATTTATTGGGCAATTTCTCTATTGTATAGACTGAGGGATGATCTGATGTAGGCCTACAAGATTATGAAAGGTTTTGTTCAGGTAGATGTTGATGCTCACAGATGAAACTAGAATTCAAGAAATTACAATGAAAAGTTAGTCAATGAAAAGTCCAGCAGAGAGCGGAGGGCAAATTTCTCAGAGGGGTCAGAATGTGGAGGTCACTGCCACACAGAGTGTTTGAGATGCATTGAAAGGGACCTGGGCAAATACAGAAGAGAGAAGAAAGGGAAAGCTTTGTTGATTGGGTTACAACTGGGAGGTAAACATTGGTATCGATCTAGGAGGTTTAATGGCAGGGCTCTGCACAACATGTTGTGCATCAGACATGATGATCTAACCATTATTCAAGTACCCTGTCTAATCCTTTAGTGTTACATACCCCACGCATGGCACACAGATCCTGCTGACCATTTAACCTTTTCTTTACAACTGTAGAGCTACCACAGGCCCTGACTATACTTTTAACCAATACTGCATACCTCTAGCACACTGCCTAGCCCTTTAACTGTTGCCATATACACCAGGTACCGTGGAAAGGCCCTCTCGGTCCCATTAACCATGACTGAGTGCATCATCCTGCACAGAACCTGCCAGTCATTTCTGCATGCACATACCCTGCACAGGTCTCCCCTCTTGAGAGCGCATCCGGATCCAGTGGTCAGAGATGTTGAGAATAACTAGTGGGTGCAATGCGACAGAGACACTCCCGGTCACTCCAGACGCCATCACACTCAGTGTTGCTGTAGCAAGAGAACACAAGGCACAGGGGAGTTTTGGACTTCCATTCTTCTGTAAATACACAAGTGTTTTCCACAAACACTGATGTGATCTCACCAAACAGTAACAACAGAGTGCAAATTATATTTCAAAGTGCTCCAAAGGAACACTGTCAAACAAAATCCAGTGCTGAGTCCCATAAGGCAGCCGTGTGTCATGACCAATACAGGGAACACCAAGTAGCCAGCAGAGGATCTAGTGCAGGAAGAGACTGACTGTGTTTGGTGTATACGAATAATCCAGGAGGTCACTGTGAAGGCAAGAGGTGGCTTCAAAATTGCTTGTCTAATTGTTGCACAGTCTCCTTTGTCCAGGATCACGACAGGGGTAAGGGACAGTGGCTGGTGACAAGAATGAGCAGGGTAGGAGTGGGGAAGTGGAGCTGCTAAGCAGAAGAGTAAGAGTGGGAGGGGAAGGGAGGCTGGAAAGAGGGACTAGAGTGTACGGTTAAGGAGATGGGAAGAAAGTGGCTGACGACAAAGCGAGAGGAGTAGGCAGTTCAGGAGCTTCACAAGATCTTCTGTCACTGGGGAAGGGAAGGAGGGGAGGTGAGGGAGGAGGAAAGTGGGGGCGGAGGAGGAAAGTCGGGGAGGGGGAGGGAGAAATTCAGGGGGGGAGGAGGGGGAAAGTCGGGGGGGCGGGAGGGTTGGGGGGGGGGGGGGATTGGGGGGGGGGGGGAGAGAGGTGGGGTGCAGCTGCTGAACAGAGGCTTCGGGGGTGGGACTTCCGGTGGTGATTTCAGGCCTGGCGGTTTCCTGGCGCCATAGCAACGCCCAGCGCTAGAGCACCCCCTCAACCGTCTCCCTGTCCATCTCTGTCCCTGCGCTCCCCCACCTCCCTTTTCCCTAATAGCGTCGACCCTCAGAGCCGCCGCTTCTCTCACTCACCCGCCGGCTCCACCTCCATCCCGTTCGCGGCCATCTTTCTGCCCCTGTTCGAAACCGCATGCGCAGTACCGGATAGCGACCCGACGGTGCGGAGATAGCCAATCGGAGAGCGGCATCGCAGCCATCTTTGTAAAGGAAAGGAACAAAAACAAAGTTGCTGGAGAAGCTCAGCTCAGATCTGAGGAAGGGTCACGGGACTCTGTTTTTTCCTTCAAAGATGCTGCCAGACCTGCTCAGTTCTTCGGTTTGTAAAAGAAAACCCCGACGGAAGTGTTGCCATGTTGGTAAAATGTTACTTCCCCAAACCAAAAGCGGCCTGTGTCCCATTTGTGTGTCGCCATTTTGGTAAAGGAAGTGTTTTGTTTTCACATCGAATGTTTGTGAGATCCTGGGAAGGGAAATTGCTCAGTTTGACAGTGTGGTACATTCACAATGGACTTCCTGTCTGACTGGTTACGTGCTATATTGGCGACATGATAGGTCATTTTTATTAGCTCATGGGTGTCATTGGATGGGCCATCATTGATTGTGACATCCCTAATTTCCCATTGAGAAGGCAGTGTCAAGTTGTCTTCTTGATCTGCTGTGGTGTAGGGCTACTCACAGTGCCATTAGGGAGGGAGTTTCAGGATTTTGACTCAGTAACACCAAAGGAATGGCAGAGAGATCTCGGTGTCCATATGCATACATCACTGAAAGTTGCCACCCAGGTTGATAGCGTTGTTAAGAAGGCATCCGGTGTGTTAGGTTTTATTGGTAGAGGGATTGAGTTTCGGAGCCATGAGGTCATGTTGCAGCTGTACAAAATTCTGGTGCGGCCGCATTTGGAGTATTGCGTACAGTTCTGGTCACCGCATTATAGGAAGGATGTGGAAGCATTGGAAAGGGTGCAGAGGAGATTTACCAGGATGTTGCCTGGTATGGAGGGAAGGTCTTATGAGGAAAGGCTGAGGGACTTGAGGCTGTTTTCGTTAGAGAGTAGAAGGTTAAGAGGTGACTTAATAGAGACATACAAGATGATCAGAGGATTAGATAGGGTGGACAGTAGGAGCCTTTGTCCTCGGATGGTGATGGCTAGCACGAGGGAACATAGCTTTAAATTGAGGGGTGATAGATATAGGACAGATGTCAGAGATAGGTTCTTTACTCAGAGAGTAGTAAGGGCGTGGAATGCCCTGCCTGCAAAAGTAGTAGACTCGCCAACTTTAAGGGCATTTAAATGGTCATTGGATAAACATATGGATGATAATGGAATAGTTTACGTTAGATGGGCTTCAGATTGGTTTCACAGGTCGGTGCAACATCGAGGGCCGAACGGCCTGTACTGCGCTGTAATGTTCTATGTTCTATGTTCTATATCCAAATCATGGAGTAATACTCTGAGAGGCCCTTTGGCCCATCATGTTCAGCCAGTCATCAAATATCTATCCGTTCTAATCCCAGTACTTGGGCTGTAGTCTTGCATGCTGTGGTGTTTGAAGTATTCATCTCTTATACCAGTACGAGCCTTTAGGCGAGTGAGTCCAGGATGGTGCATGGCTCAGAGTGGAACCTGCAGGCAGTGGTATTCCCGTGCATCTGCTGCCCTTGACCTTCCAGACAGTGGATTTTGAGAGTTGGCCCAAAGGATGCTTGTCCTGATGGCTGGTTTGTAGCTGGTATTTGCTATCACAATGCACCACTTGGTGGAGCATGTGCAAATTTACGGTGGTGGATGAATTGTCAGTCATATGGTTCGCTTTGTATTTGGTGCAGATTAGCTCCGTGGGTGCTGTTAGGGATGAGTTCATCAGGTCATCACTGTTCTATTAGGCTGTTAGAACCTGAAAGGGTCAACTCCTTTATGGATCTAACCATTGTGAACATCTCGTGTTAGTATCATACTATTTTCTTAGTGTAGAGATTATTTAGAAGGCAGCGCATGCACTTATGTTTCAGAGGTAGCAGGAACTGCAAATGCTGGAGAATCTGAGATAACAAGGTGTAGAGCTGGATGAACACAGCAGGCCAAGCAGCATCAGAGGAGCAGGAAGGCTGACGTTTTGCGCCTAGACCCTTCTTCAGA